CCAAGGTCCCTTCCAACTTTATTATTATTATTATTATTATTATTATTATTATTATTATTATTATTATTATTATTATTATTATTATTATTATTATTATTATTGAATGTCTGTCTTTCTTTCACAAGGAATTTTTTTTCTTCTCTTGGGTTTCTCCTAGGGGTGTTTCAAGAGACCTGAAATCTGAGCAATTAAATGAAGCATGATATAAAGCAGTTACGCAACCACAAAAGGGTGTCTGTTTGTGCCTGATTAAGCCTGGACCACAAACATTCACTTTCTCCCCCCCCCCTTTTTTTTTTTTAAAAAAAAGCAAGACTCTACCATTTTCACTTAACAGGGCTTGTTTATTCCATAATCTATAATAGTGTTTCTGAAACATTTTGTTTTCTCTCAGAGGACCCCCCCCCAGGAGCTTTTATTTGTTATGGGTTATATTTATTGATATTTAGTCAATTAAATTAAAATTAATCTTTTAATTTAAAAATTGACCTGCTTGCTGCCCCTACCATTTCTCACAATTGCTGGTTGAGATTTTAATACTGTATGATTTTTCAACATGGACTGGCAGATAATGTTGATTTTGGAGACCTCTGATCGCTGTTGGGGGACCACACCTTAAGAAAGAGTACGGAATTACGCAACACACTAAGAGGTGTAATAGTGTAAACAGTACACAGTTTACAATAGTGTAAACTGATATCTATTTGTCTCAATCAGCTGGCTAGCTTATCCTACAAGGAAAGCGCATACTATATTTTTTTTTCAATCTCGCACAAAATTCAGTTTATTTTTCAAACACACTCAGTTTTCTGCTTTTGTTTCTGGCTACCTAGATGAAGGTAATTCAGCCTCGTTTTTCCATTTAAACATTTGCAAACTTGTAGTGATTAAGAATTAGCGGGAGAAGGCAAAAAGTAAACAGACTTTAAAAAGAAAAAAGGGAACTAGGAGAGAAAAAGAAGAGACCTGTAATTTTAATGGGAAATGCTCACATCCATAGACAATATTCTTATCCTGCGCATACAGTCCATACAAAGGCAATTTGTTAAGAAAACCATGGCTGATACATGGGGACTAATTTGAATAAATTTATTCTGTCTTCTATTCTGCCTTGGAGGCTTTTGGAAAGCTCTCTACAGAGGCATTAATTTTTCAGCCAATGCAATTCCCTACGCTGCTGATCCAATGAAAAATGTATTTTAGATTTCCAGGATTCTGCAATAACAAACTTTGTTCAAAAGGCAGCCTTTTCCCCCCAATTTTTTTGCAAGAGAAACATTTGTTTTGATCTCCCGATTTCACCTCCTATCAAACTGCCCTCTGGGAAAAAAGAAATCAAGCTGATTTCAGGGAAAAAAGGAGAGCACCTGTCAATCCTAACAGCTATATATTATTTCTAGAATTAGGACAAAGTACTTGGACAAACCATCTGCTAAAAAAAGGCAAGTATGGATCTGCTACAGATAGTCCTCAAGTTACAACGGTTCATTTAGTGACTGTTCAAAATTATAGCGGCGCTGAAAAAAATGACTTATGACCGTTTTTCACACTTATGACCATTGCAGCATCCCCATGATCAAGTGATCAAAATTTAAGGCGCTTGGCAACTGACTCACATTTATGACGGCTGCAGTGTCCCGGGGTCATATGATCACTTTTTGTGACCTTCTGACAAGCAAAGTCATTGGGCAAGCTGGGATCACTTAACAACTGTGTTACTAACTTAACAACTGCAGTGATTCATTTAACAACTGTGGCAAGAAACGTCGTAAAATGTAGCAAAACTCACTTAGCAACAGAAATTCTTAGCTCAATTGTGGTCGTAAGTTGAGGACTACCTGTACTTGGAAGGTGTTAGTTACTACTTAAATTTTCTTTCACTGATGTGAACAAAGTGAGCGAAGATTATTGTGCGCATGCCTGAAGATGGCGGCTGTCGGCTCGTAGCTCCGCATTAGTGGGGTTCTGAATGGAGCAGAGGGGAGTTCTGGAGGCTTTGGAGGCCCGTCCCGGGGAGATCTCCCCTCGGTGAGTTCCCCGGGATCGGCGGGGGGACTTCGGCGGTTTCGGCGGCCCCTCGGCGGCTGGCGGCTGGCGGCCCCCCGGT